CNNNTNTNAAAAAAATAATATTTTTTATATAGTTTTCCCGTATTGATACATTCAAAAATATAGATGAATAGTATTATTTTTTCATAAAATAATATAAATATAAATAGTAATAAAACAATTGGTAATATTTTTTTTCATATAATTCGGGATGTTCAGTTATTTTATTTATTTAAAAAGACTAAATTCGACATTTAGTCAAATAATATTATTCGATTGACAAATTTACTGAATTTTTAGTACGTGAATCGTGTCGTTTTATACGGTGCAACATGTTATGTTATAGAGTGCATCGTATTCTTATATAAAGTGCAACACCTTAATATATAAAATGTAAAGTTGAAATTTTGGTAGGTTAGCATGCTTGTGTGTGTGTATTTTTTTTTTTTTTTCTTTTGTATAGTTGATGTGATGAATATTAAAGTATCATGTAGATCCATTTTCCTAATTTTGTATTGCGTAATATTGTTTGTGGGAAGTGTTGACATTAATTGTGGTGATAATGTGCAACGGGTTGTTTTATAAAGTGCAACGTGCAACGTGATGATATATAAAGTGCACTACTTTATGATTATTACGTATAAATTGTGTGTTTTTTGAAAACTAGCTTTAATAGATATAATTGTACATCGAATTAACCTCATAAATTATTATTTATTACTATAAAATTATATTTATTATTTAAATATTTTTTATATATTAAATTTGAGATATTAAAAATTTTAAACGTTGTATACGTTATTTATCATTAATATGCATCTATGAGTATATTGCTATAAATTAAATATTTGGTCATGAACTTAATTAGAAAAATAATCAAAATTAATAAAATCGCAAGTTTGTCCCTCAACACTATCTATTTTTGTTAAAGACAATAAAACCCTAAATCCCTAATTTGAATTTGAAAATTTATTACAAATTTATATTTTAAAAATATATTGAAGATTTTAATACTTTTATATAATAATTTTATATTATTTTTTTATTTATAATACATAATATATATATATATGTGTGTGTGTGTGTGTAAAAAATATATACAAAATAATATGTTTTGATATATTTTCTATAAATAATATATCTAGCTCGTGGACTAAATTGGAATAAAGTTAAATCTTTATGAATTCACACATTGACCCCAATGATTTAATTGTAAATAACTTAAACTCTTAAATTTTGCAAATCAATCCATGTAACTTGTCAAAAGTGCTATTAAGTCCCTTAATTATATCAAATCTCATAATGAGGCCCAAACTCCCAAATTCAAAATTCAGATTTCCTGCTCCATTCTCGCCGGCAACGGGAGCAGCGGGGCCGTGGAGGAGACATCTTAGTGGCGACGGGCGAGAGCTGAAGCGGCCGGCGGGTGGGTTGTCTTGCCGCCGGTGTGTCTCGCCTCCGGCGTCCGGTTGGAACGTGATGTGGCTGTCTGGCACGACTTAGTTCTTGTCAGTTCTAACGCGGCGACGATGACTGGTTGCAGACAGATGGCAGATGTTATGTAGGTACAGGCGGAGGTGGCGTCACGGTGAAGCTCCGGTGGCCAGAATGTTGGCGTGAAACGGATGCTTGTTGCGGAAGGCGGCGACGATATGGCAGACTGGGGCTGGCCTGCCGAAACTCTGTGTGTGTATGTGTGTGTGTGTGTGTGTGTATGTGTGTGTGTGTATGTGTGTGTGTTTGTGAGTGTAGTGCATGCGGGATTCCAATTTTCAGATCGTGTGAGGACAGAGAGAGATTGAGGAAAGAGAAAGGAGGGTGAGGAGAGAGAGAGAGCGAGAGGAGAGAGAAGGTGGGGTGAAGTTATTAAATGAGTGGGTCCCACTTGATATGTGTATAATCCACAGAGCTTACCCACCACCACCATTGTTTGAAAGAGATCTTCTCATTTTGCAGTCTGTTCCATTGAACCGATGCTAGTTTCCATGTATTTTGAGCTCTTGGACAATAGAATAGAGTGTGTTCTAATGTTTCCTCTGCCTCTCCACAGGCCTGGCACCTTGTCTCTATATCCATCCTCCTCCCTTTGATGTTGCAGTTGACAGGTACAATGTTAATAAAACACCTCCAAACAAAGTATCTCACTTTCCCAACTACTTTTAATTCCAGCACCTCATCCTAGCTCGTTTATTGTCTCCAACTAATTTGCTTGATTCAGCTCTGGCAATTTCACACATTTTATTGCTAAGCATCAGAGAATAGACAGCTTTGACAGAGAAATAGCCTTTATCCACAAAGGTGCATTTTCATCAGTCCTCTCCAGTTGCATTTAGCTCTTTAAAAGCCAGAATTTTATCTGCATCCACTGCTTTGAATAATGCTCTCACTAAAGCCTCATCCCACTTCCTGCCACCCTGCACCAACAAGTCTTTCACCCAAAATTCATTCCCATCAACCAAAACTCTCAACTCTGGTTTCCTTTCTGTTTTTCCTGGAACCCAATTTATTTCATTGATTCTGGTAGCTTCCCCACTATGAATGCATCTGACCATATGCTGTGATAAGAAAGGCAAAAACTGGGACCAGGATTTCCGAAGCCGAGATGATACACTGCAGCTGTTTTGTTCAAAAATAGATTGGCCAGAAAAATACCTATCTTTAAGTACTTTACTGATAAGGAGATCAGGCTTCACAATTATCCTCCAAAGCTGTTTTAATATTAGAACCTCATTGAAAGTCTGAATATCTTAAAAACTAATTCCACCCTCATGTTTTGGGCAAGCCATCTTCTTCCATGCCAGCCAGTGCATGCCTCTATCTCTCTGTTCACTAGTTTGCCACCAGAAATCTGCTATTACTCTGCAAACATCCTTGCAAATACCCTTTGGCAACACAAAACAGGACATCACAAATATGGGTAATGCATTGAGCACTGCTTTAACCATCACCCCATTGCCAGCTGTGGATAAAAAATGGTTCTTCCAACTGCAAATTCTACTTTTTACAGCATCAACCACAAATTGGAAGACATCAGATTTAGAAGCTCCTATCCCCAGGGACAACCCTAAGTATTTAGCGGATCTTTCGACAACCACACCTTGAAAAATAGACTGAAGCTTTGTTTTCAACTCCTCAGAACAATTTCTACTCAGGAACATGGAGGACTTGTGTAAATTGACCTTTTGACCAGCAAATTGTTGATACTGACTGAGAATTCTGAGCAATAATTGAGCATGGTGTTCATCAGCTTTGCAAAAAACCAAGGCATCGTCAGCAAACAACAAGTGTGAATATCATTGGTCCACCTTTAGAAATTTTCACACCTCTGAATTGGTTCCTGCTGGCATAATTGGACAGTGTAGCAGAGAAAAGCTCTGTAATCAGGATGAATAAATATGGTGAAAGTGGATCTCCTTGTCTAATTCCCCTCGATGGTGTGACAAACCCACTGACCTGACCCCTCAGATTAAATGAAAAAGAAGTTGTGGTCACACAAGCAATGACCCATCTGTTGAATTTCTCATGAAAGCCCATCCTCTGCATTGTTTGCTTGATACAATCCCATTCTACTCTGTCGTACGCTTTTTCCATATCCAGCTTTATGGCCATGAACACATTTTTTCCAGTTCTGTGTCTGTTAAGGAAATGGAAAACTTCATGTGCTATCACTACATTATCCAATAGTTGTCTTCCAGGGACAAAAGCTGACTGTTGTTGGCTCACACATTCATTCAAGCAAGATTTGAGTCTATCTGCCAATATCTTTGCAATAATCTTGTATAAGACTCTGCAGAGGCTTATCGGCCTATAGTTACTGAGCTTCTCCGGGTGCAAACACTTGGGAATTAGTGTTGCCACCGTGTGATTCCAGTTCCTAGCCATATGTCCTGTCCAGAAGAAACTTTTTATTGCTCTGCACACATCATTGCTCAGGATATGCCAAAAATATTGGATAGGAGAAAAATATTTTTTCTTAATAATGTGGCAAAATGTGCACTGCATATGTCATTATATTTGCACACATTGTGTGTGTGTGTAGATAAGTTAAGTAATATGTAGGAAAAAAAACTCCAAAAATGCATATATTATCTTTTTTTTTTTTTCTGGAACGATAGAGATTTTATATAAGGGCACAAATGTGCAAAAATACAACCACCAGCTGACAACACGCAGCCACCAGCTGAATAAAACATGAGAGGACAGGACGAAGCCTGCCTAGAAACGACCCTAACAGGGGAATAACTACTCAAAACAAAGACACAAAAACTAAAACGGCCCCAACAGGGTAATGCTCGAGTGTTAGGTCTCAACAGGATAATAAGTTCACACTCGGGCAGACTGAGTCCAACGGCCCAAACCTAAAACACAAAAACTAACATAAACACCAACACAAACGACTAAACAAGAACAAACAAAAAAAAAACGAGAACCAAAAAACAACTACACACTAACAACACAGCCTCCCTCAGCAGGTACATCCGAAAAAGACAGCAGACAAAGCCGATTCCGAGGAGAGCTCCGAAGCTCCGATACCATGCCCACCACTACATAAGGCCTAGCAAGGCGATGACCCAAGTCTCAGAAACAAACCGAGAACATGATCCGTACTCCAGCCGCAAAAAGCCACTAATACCACTCCACCGGCTCACACCACTAGCCGATCCGACACCCACCCAAGCAGCCTAACACCACTAGCCTACTCCGGGGATCGTCAGCCTCCCACAAACTCAGAAACTGAGAAAGGGGAGAAAGGGGACGAGTGGCTTCCCTACTCGACCGCTCCGACCCTGACCAAACGAAGCACCTCCAATCGAGGAGCTGGCGACCTGACTCCTGCAGAAATCGGAAGACCACCAACGACAACCCTCCAAATATGGCCGAGAAGAAGCGCCCCGACCAAGGCCGAATCAAGCGACACAAGCATCATCCACGCACGACCAACCCCCGCCATACCCCGACATCACTGAATTTCGGCTGCCTTCGAACAGAAAATAATTCCGCCGAAACCCTAGCCCTAACCCAGTGATGACAAGACAGAGGACGGGAGCACCGCGACCATGGATGAGCAGAGAAGACCATCCACCGACGATCACGGACGGCGGCTGAGAGAGCTTACCGGCGAGGAGAGATGGAGGCCGAGAGAGAGATTGGGGGAGACGGAAGATTTGAGGGAGACGGGAGACAAGAATCAATAATGCATATATTATCTAGAAATAAATTTTATCAATTTCTAAGTATGATATATCATTAAAACAATGAGTACAATCGTTTGTTTAAGGATTTTTTTTTAAAGTATCAATGGATATTTCTTACTAATTTGCTCTTTAAAAAATTATATTATATTACATTTCATATAAGTTACATGCAAAAAATAAACAATTTGTTGTTGACATGAACATTCACGATTAATGTGTCTATTTGTAACTTTACAAAAAGTGATTTAGCTTGCACGTTATTCTGATCACCATCAGACTTATTTTCCAAAGAAATGAATTGTTGAATTTATTTCGCGAATTAGAAAAAGTAAAAAAAATATGTGGATCGAAATAAAGTCAATTTCTTAAGTATTTTATATATTTTTTAAAATTTAATTGGCTCATATTTTTATATTTTTATTTGAATTATTCTATATCAGTTTATCTAGAGTAGAAATAATGTATTTATTTATTCAAAAATGATGAAAATTATATAATTATCGAGACATTTTTGGAAAAAAATTCAAGAAGTGTAATTAATGTGACAAATACCTTTTATCGTCAAATAACACTAATATTTTTTTTAAGTTAACTTAATTTAAAATTTTATATAAAAGATATATGGTATTTTGTAGTCATAATTAATTATACGTTGTTGTTTTTAATCTTGTTTGAAAATTATTCTTTATGATGATAATTGTGATAACGAATAAAATCATTCACTCTAATATTATATTAAAGAAAATATTGTAAAACATAATAAATAATATTTTCATCAACATTATTCTTTAACAACAAGTAATAAATAATATTTTCATCAACATTATTCTTTAACAACAAGTCGCGCAGCGGGCATAGAAATATAAATATAATTTTGATGTTTTTTTTTTCATAATATGCATGTTTGTTTATGGAAATTTTCAAAAAATTTCCAACATTTTAACTCAACTTTAACTCAACCCCGCTATCATCAATATTGACAATATAATTAAATAATATCAATCAGTCATTCATACACACACGTCAACCTTAATTCACTATTTATCTACTCACATTGTTTTAACTAACCATCACTTCAAATAATTTTTTTCCTACTTTTACATCAAATCAATTTTAATTATTTTATTTTAAATATTATTTTAATATACACTAACAACTAACCATACTGATGGGTCTACTTCTAGATCTGAAGAGAACCGATGGACTTGAGCTCAGATCTGCTTGAACCGCCTCTGAATCGTTGCTAGACCGCGAGAATACCTGCAAAAACTCAACGCCAGAGGTGTTTCCGGCATAGAGCCTCCGACGCTCAAGTCAGTATCAGAGAGATGATGGGATGCTGCGAAGCAGCTATGAGGAGTGTGTGGAATGAATGAGAGTTACGGTTTAGGGTTACCTCCCCTCCTTTATATAGGAGTAAGCACTTACTTGAAGTACCCGAAATACCCTGGTCGGTAGACCTATAAGGTCTAAATGGCCCCGGTCGATTCATCTCCCCTTGCCGCTGAGTCATCATAAGATTCCTTCTTATCCCTTGAAGGATATAAAGCCTTAAGTATGCTGCAAGTATGATGAGTCGTCATCACATATTTGGTCTTCGAGGTATAAAGAGTCGGCCTCGAGAGCTGGGAGGTCGACTCACGATCACATGAGGATTCGGAGGCTACGCTTGGTTAGTTCTCTCGAACGGGAGTCGACTTTAGAGAATCGACTTAGTGAAGTCGACTTTCGGGAGTCGACTTAGAGTATCTGAATGTTCAGAGGTCGTGCTCTTGTTGTTCTTCTTGGATAGATGTCGTCTGTTGGAAATCGACAGATTGAGGTCGACCTCCAAGAGTCGACTGGCACGATTCCCGCCTTCTCTGCGCGGTCGTTCTATGGAGGGTCCACTTTGTGTAAGTCGACTTGAGTATGTCGACAAGAACATATCGCTATGTGGACGGTCTGAGTTGTTATCTGGTCGAGTAGAGAGTTCCAGAACCGGTATATGATAATATGGCTATATCATCTNGTCGACTATATCTATTAGTTTTGTTCGTCAC